TCCTATCTGCAAGGGTATTCTTGCCCAAAGCTTTACTGCAAGAAACTAAGTAATAATGCAGAAACCTACGTATTCAGTTCGCAATACAAAAGGAACAATTTTATGCTGAATGCGGAGCAAGATTCATCAACCTTACTTTATAGCTCTCTCTCTCTCTTTTCGAACCAATCTTAAATAATAATACAAAACCTGCAAAATATTATAACCACCACAGAGCTACAATTTAAACAGAAACCAACAAAATAAGTTTCATTATACACTACTTACTTTACAGCCATTTAAAATACAAATTATCACAGTCACAAGCTTTTAGATTTGTGATTTTAGACTGATTTTCCGACGGTGCAGTGGCAATTAATAAGAAAAACTCTCGATGTCAGCAGTGACCATACGGGCTTCTATTTATTCCATCATTTTATTCGCTTGGGTTCGCTCAATGAAAAATAGATGATCTCTGTTTTGAAAAAAAAAATTAAAAATAAGGCTCTAAGCTTTCGTACGAACTGAAATTGAAATCCACTTTCTCGGGTATAGCCTCCCACGCAGGCGTTTTTAGGGGAACTCGTATTTCGTCCCTCCCCAAATACGAGCTCCCCTAAAAACGCCTGCGTGGGAGGCTATCTCGGGTACAACGGAAATAGATTGTACTTGGCAAGACTTCTCGACATTCAGATAAGTGATTTCGGGAATAGAATCCTCATTTTGATGTGACTGAACTCAGTCTTTAAATTGCCATTTTGTGATACCAATACTTGACTTTCATTGCGTTGAATCGAGGTTCAGGAAGTGACAGAGCAGACTAATTAAAATCTTATGTTCTGGCATAAAAATACTAAGATACTAGCATATGATATTGTCTGATAGCTAAAATTTATCTGTGACGGATTAACTCCCAAAATACGTTAGAAATCTTTTCTCAGTTACGCTTTCAGCGCTTATTACACTTTTTTTGCCACATAAGATAACTAAAAAACGTTTTCACTCTTGTGTAAATGTTTATTATTTACTTAAAATAAATGATACTTTAAAACATGCTTACCTATATCCCGTCTTCATTTGTCTGTACCTTGGCAAATTTGCAGGGTAAAAACGGATGTTTAGTCCAGCAGATCGTGAGTTGTGTTTTTGCCGTTCTTGCAATGTTTTTAGGAAAAATTTTAGCTATTCTTCGCAAAACGTGTGAAATTTTCTGCCCTTTTTTCCCGCTGTGAGAACAAGGTGGAGTGGGAAAAAATGGCAGAAAATTTCACACGTCTTTTCTATTTTCTCATCTCTGTCGTCGTCGCCGTCGCTAAGTTGTTGTGCTCGCCAGTAGCCTTTACAGTCAAACCAGGTCAAGCGTTCCCGTCGCTAACAAACTAATGAATTCATTAATGGAAAAATGATTTCGTTTGTTGATTCAATAATCCATTCATAAAATGAATAATCCAACGGTCAAATTGTACCTCGATTCAATAATCAAATGTTGATTTGGTTTATGAACAAAATCTACCTGTTCTTTATTCTTGTCTGTTGTGTTCAATCGTATTTGCTTCCCTTTTGCTGCCGTTTACGATTGCGTTTTTCATTGCCTTTAATAAAAATAACAGCTAGAATAGACAGACCGCAAACGCAAAGAAACTGACAAAGGCCGAGGATCGAAATCCACCAATCACCGCACATACACTGACCTCAGTTTGACCGTCGTGTTTTCTAAGAGATCAGGCCTAGGTCTGTTGCACTGATTATTGGCAGCAAACTGGCGTACATGTAACAGTTTGTTTGGGTTTGAACTTCAGAACTCGCCAGCACTCGACTCTCTGAAAAAAAAGAGGGAAAAACAAAATTCTGAGGTCAACTTGTGGAAAGTGTAATTTTTCAAAAAACAGTAATCGAATCAACATTCGATTATGGAATCGAGGCTAAATATGACTATTGGATTGTTCATTTTATGAATGGATTATTGAATCAACAAACGAAATCATTTTTCCGTGAATGAATTCATTAGTTCGTTAGAGACGGGAACGCTTGACCTGGTTTGACTGTAATACCACGCAAAACAATTTCGCTTGATATGAGATGATTTCTTTGTAAAATCGACGATTTGGTGGAAAACTGAACTCGACGAAAACGACGTTCCCAGGTATCATACAGAGGCTCAGAGGATATTGTGATAAATCAGTAAAAAGTAGTATTATTCCGTGTGACCTACTTTTGATGTCCAATTTCCTAATTATGGGAGTTCTTAGTCGTTTTTGCTTTCCCCTGAGTTGGTTCTTTTGCTGATTTGCTAGGTCCGGGCGAACATTACTCTGTATGGTGGTGTGGAAAAATTACACTATACCTAGGTCTGTTGCGCTTAAAAGCGCCAAATATAAGGCTAGAATAGCCGAAAACAGTTTCATCTTGGATGCGGTCTCACCAGCGCTCAGGGAATTGCTGAGCAGTTCTTTTGAGTTTTTGTTTCTCACAGTTCTCTGTCAAAGTGATGACTCATTGAAGGATGGAGCTGAATAAACGAGTTTAGACAGGATCTTATGATAGACGTAAACATCAGGAGGCGAGACCATGATCATCCGAACAGCGAGTTCAAGCTTTAATTATAAGTTGTGGATGAAACTATGGTAGCAGTACGCAGTCTAGTTTTACCAGCAACAATATATACAGTGGTCGCTTCGTTAGTTTTTTCCTAAACCAACAAGTGGTAGACATTTTTTATCGCTAGTTTCACGGTAGTGAGATCTTCATTTAATTTGCGTTTATTAGTCTCGCTTGCGTAAGCAGCGAGACTCATAATCTGCAACGCGTTTTTTGTCTTATTTTGTACACAAATGGGGGCGATTGTGCCAGGCGTTCCTAGCGGAGACCGTGGAAACTGGGACTAAGAATCGTTGCGTGATCGAACAACCTCGTCCCCAGGGCGCTTTTCCGTGGCTTTGGGAATAGTTTCTGGTGTTATAAAAATTTATTGGTGATTTAGCCTGATCAGAGCTTAAATAATCAAAATGTTAAAAATACAATTTGCTGTTGTTCTGTTGTATTGACCACCAACATGGCCGCCTTGTCACCTGGTTTCAAACCAAGAAAATATTTTCCTAATTCTGGACGGCTTATGATTTCGATCATGACATTTACAGCTCCGAAGTTATTTTAAAACAAGAAACCGGTTTCAGTAAAAAGAAAAAATGAGCATAGTATCTGATACTGCAAGATGATTTGCAAGAAAACGCATTCAAGAAATTGCATTGTGCAAGATTTTTTTGCCCTTGCTTCTTTGCGTGAGAAATTTCATTCGTTGGCAGCACTTGGTCGTCAATTAATTTGTTTCTTTCAGGTTTTTATGGTCAGGGGAGTAGAAAAACGTCACCGTGAAATATCGATTATGACTTGCTAATTGTTGTGCTGGTATGTATGACAACTGTCAAACACTCAGGTTGTGACAACATAATCACTATTTTTTTTTTCAATTGCTACTCACTGTTCAACTCAAAGCATACAACCAATGGGATATACTTTTTGTTGTAAAGTAGTACCTTTTTGGATAATGTGTTTGTCAGTTCTGCAACTGACAAATTTTAAAAGATGGCACTGTAGGGTAGTGAGGTATTAACATAAATACTAAATTTTTTGACTAGTTGTAACAAATTAACTGGTGTTCACGAGAAAAACAAAGGGAAATGTCCGCTACAGTCTTAATCTATGAAGTTAGGCCTGAATTCTAGGAGTTGCTGAAAATTTTATGATTAAAAGTGTTAATACAGCGGAAAGGACAGAAAGAAATTGACTGAAAAAAAATAAAACATCAAGATTGAATCCACGTACCTTTAAGTAAATAGGATGACTAATAGCCAAACTGTAAAGTGATGACTTAGATAAAACCACAATATAAAGTTCTACTCCGCCTTCTTGACGACCTTAGAAACATCTTACCAGTTTTTTTGAGAGTGCGCATGCGTCATTTTGCGACTCTTTTCCTTAATTGTGTGATAAAATATAAATGGCTTGGATTGCGTTCTTGCCAGGCGAGCGCGTGTTTATCTGCGATCAGATCCTGGGTCAGCTTTTCATTCGACGTATCGTACTGAGCGAATGGTGGTCTATTCTTATTGGGGCCATCCGCAAACAATGCAACAATGTGGTAGGAGTGGAGAGATCCTCGTAGAGAGCTTGTTTATCGCTGCATAGAGGTGGGTGGGCGCGTTAAGAAGTGTGCGAAACACCGAAAAGACTGAGCACGCTATTGGGAAGAAAAACTGGCCTTATATAAGAAACCCATAATGCGCAGACACGTATAGGGCAGCCACGGGCTTTACACGGCGTGCTAGTGTTACGTAATAAAACTTAAGGCTCTTTCATTGCGGAGTCCCCAGATAAGTTGAGCTGTTACCCCATCCTGCTTTTCGACAACTCAGTGGAGACTTAAATGCACTGGTTTAATGTGCGATCTAAGTTGCCCCTAACGTAGCTGAAATATTGGAGCGATACCCTGTCTTCCTCCGGCGCACAAAGCTGGGAACGCATACTTCAGAGCGTCACTCTTAGAGCCGGGAGTGGCCGAGGGCCTGCAATAAGGAACTCTTTAAGTATCCCAACGACTTTTAAGTGACATTGTAGGATGAGAGCCGTCGTTGTTCCTTTTGCTCTAAAAGAAAGGAATAGTTCAATATGACTTTCTTATTTTTATTCGTTTTTGCCCCTTACACAATAATTAAGTACAGGCATTTTGCAGCTAATCATTCACCTGGTACAAAACCGCCATTCTGGAGAGCAAGGGTCACACCTGGACAAGACAAACAAATGAGGTTCATCAAATAAAACTGATGCTAATTTTCTTTGTTTGTCTTGTCCCAGTGTGACCCTTACTCTCTAGCATGGCGGTTTTGTACCACGTGAATTACAAGCTGCGAAGACCCCATTGCAGTTTTAGTTTCCCTTTACATTATATTGATCAGTTTCTTCCATGGAGGTTCCTGCTTTTTGTTTACTTTCGGCTTTGATCATCAACGAAGACAGCTTGTCAACTAAGGGAGCCTCTTGCAAACAAGACCACAGGGAAGCGCTGGAATTATCCCACATGGAAGGTCATTCCAGAACCCGGAAGCGCGGATAGGCAGGTGGGAGGAGTGCCCAGTCCACATGTGACCGCATGGTTCCCGCGCGTTTCCGTTCGGTTCGAAGCGAGCCCAATACTTAAAGACTGGAATTGAGTTATCGGACCAGATGAAGCCGTTGAATCTCGGGCTCCACTTGAGTCCGATCCAAGCTTGATTCAGTGATGGCGCTTGTTTTTTAACTAACTTCAGTACGAACTCGTTTTCTTCGAAGCTGTTGATCTTCACCAGTTCTCCTCCCAGTCCTTTGCAGTACGCTTGGGCTTGTTGCCAAGTCTTGATGGTGCTTTCGACCAGGTAACAAAAGCTGCTGAACTGCGTCCAGCCAGTGGGACAAGGAGCTTTTTAAAACGTGTTCAAGAAAGGAAAAATTTAATTCATTACAAATATCATCAAAACCGTTAGGAGACTTGTTGGAAATGTTGTATTTGTGCTATTAGATTAATAGAGAGCTTTTGATTCGAGGACGACATTTAAATTTAAGTTTTCTGGCCTAGACCCAAACAAAAAAACTTGGAATGCAACTGACATGCAAAGACTACCCTCATGGGAGCAGTACTTGGTTTAGCTTTTGTGGAAGATTGCAAATAATGAGACAGAGCCGGTAATTACTAAGCTTCGGCGAATCAAACACTAAAACACAGGGGGTTCTTGTTGTTGGATTTAAAAATCGGAATTAAGTGACAAAAGGTGTAAATCAACACTTAACGAATAAGAAATTTCGAAGTTCTTATGTTCAATCTTGTCCCTTTGCTTCTCCTTCGCCTGTTTTAATGTTATGACTCTATAAAGAAAATACTGATTATTCTCGTAGTTTGTTGTACAGTAGTGGCTTAGAGGTATGATCTTGTCGTTTGTCGCTCCTAAAAGGTTGTGAGTAAAGAAATTTACGAAAAATGCCGTGACTTGGACCACACAGAAATTTAACGTTTAAAAAAGAACTCGACATGCTGGGCACGACACAAAACACAAGCTCTTATTTAGATGTTTGTTTTAGTATGGCCCCCTTTAGGGGTCAGTTTAAGCGTCAGCCACACCCACATTGGTCTCCCTTAGGTGGTTTAATTTTAGTTTTCTGAACAGTATCCCCGTCACGTTTATACTGGAGTCCCCCGGGTGTTTCCTTTCCCTCTATTGTAAACCTGCTCAGCATAGCTCGGTGTAGAAGAAATAGACGGTTTGATCATGTCATTATCGTCACTAGCCATGATTAAGTTTACTTACCGAGACTTTTATGAACACCTTGTAGCGTTTGCATTAATAACTTTTCACTCGGATCATCACCATCCTGAGCATCCTGTATGGGGTGTTTTTCTGACTGAACTGAAAGAAACGTCTAGGCTATAAAAAGGGCCCTTTAAACACGACTTCCAACATGTGGGTCCAATACTCTTGCATGTTTGGTCAGTAATGTTGGACCACCATGTTCCCTTTAATCGGTGACACAACCACAGAAGGAAATCGTTAAGATATTTACCAATAACTCTTGTTCGAAAAGGGTTTTTGTTCGCTAAACAAAAAAAATTAGTTTTAAGGTTGGAGTGGTTGCAGTTCGGCCACTTGTTCACTTGTACAGGTAACTGCAAAAAAAGTGTCGATAGTCTCTTAAGAAAGGGCCCCGAGGGGGATAGCAGTTCACTAAAAGAGAGGGTTTATTGTCGCTCCTGCTCAGAAGCCTTCAGAACCGTGATTTTCACTTCCACAAATTTCATTCATGTCTTCCCTATTTGGCGGCGGCTATCTTACCTGAAGCGCACCAAATAGCAAGATAAAGCTGAAGGAGAACTGGAAACATTTTTATCTCCGTTTAGACTGTTTGTCTTCACCTAATCTTGGGAGTCCGTCGAATGGATTGACCTTTTTCGTCTCACGGCCGTCCACGCGTGCGGTTAAAATACATCAATAGACAAATGTTTGTATTGTCGGTTGTAATGTATATGATTTGGGGAAGTCAAGAAAAACTGAAAAATGAAGTGTTATTTTATAAGCACTTAATCACTTAATCATCTGCGGTCACTTGCTTTTTCATGTACTTTAACAACTGTTAAAATTTTTTTTCACACTTATAAATAATAATACAAAAACTACAAAAAATTGTTACCACCACAGAGCTACAAAAGACATTTTAAGCCATAAACAATTTTCATTATTATATACACTACTTAGTATACTTAACAGCTATTATAAATACATATTATCATAGTCACTAGCTTTTAGATTTGTGATTGTAGACTGATTTTCCGACTGTGCATTGACAAAAAAAAAAAACGAAAAACTCTCGATGTCAGCAGTGACCGTACGGGCTTCTCTTTATTCCATTATTTTGTTCGCTGGGGTTCGAGCAATGAAAAACAGATGATCTCTGCTTTTTAAAAAAAAAATTTAAAAAAAGGCTCTAAGCTTTCGTAAAAACTGAAATTGAAATCCACTTTCTCGGGCACAGCGGAAATAAATTTTACTTGGCAAGGCTCCTCGACATTCTCGATAAGTGATTTCCGGAATACCATCCTGACATTTAATGTAACTGAACTCTTTAAATTGCTATTTTGTGATACCAATACCTGGCTTTCATTGCGTTGAATCTGGGTTCAGGAAATGACAGAGCAAGCTACTTAAAATCTTATGTTCTGGCACAAAAATACAGCATATGATATTGTTCTGGCGTAAAAATATAGCGTATGATATTGTCTGACGGCGAAAATTTTTCTGTGACGGATTAACTCCCAAAGTACTTTAGACATCTTTTCTCAGTTACGCTTTCACTAGACTTTTTTTTGCCACATAAAACAACTAACAAACGTTTTCACCCTAGTGTAAATGTTTATTATTCACTTAAAATAAATGGTACTTTAAAACATGCTTTCCTGTATCCCGTCTTCTTTTGTCTGTACCTCGGCAAATTCGCAGGGTAAAAACGGATATTTAGTCAATTTGTTTATTTTTTCCTCCATTTATTTTTTTTACAAGCCATTTATATTGTATTACAAGATTGAAGAATTAAAGATGCTATTTGTAGAATTAAATATCAGGTTACAAGAATAAATTTAGAGGGCAGGATATAGTTAAACTAATTACTTGCCCTTTGATTAAATTACAGTTTTATTTAGGTTAAAAGAGAAAAAAAGAGAAAAGTATAAACCCTATAAACTATGAAAAATATATTAAAAATATTCAAAAGAGAGGAAAAAAGAAAAGCACATACACACACACTCATAAAAAATGTAACATTTGAGAGTCGGTGTGGCGATGATTAATACTGAGCAAGATAATAGTTGAAAAGTGCTCTTTTAAACAATTTTTTAGTTGTTTTTTTCACATATAGATAAAGGAATATCATTCCAATAATAGCATCCTATGACTGTTGGACAGAATTTTCTTAAATTTATTCTAAAGCTACTGGGATTTAGGTGTTGTAGGAGTGCACTTCTTGTGTCATAATTATGTTGCTCAGATACCGAGGCCAGCGTGAAATTAGACGGCTTTTTATCTACAAAGTGATCGTAAATCAGCTGGCAGGTATTTAGCTTAACAATGTCAGGAAGCTTGATTAGGCCAAGGTTTGCATAATGAGGCGTAATATGATCACGAAGTGGAAAGTTATTAATGACTCTCACAACTTTACTAATTGTGATACTGGAGCTTCGTAATTATTACCCCACAGAATGCAACCGTAGTTTAAATAGGGGTAGACAAGTGCATAATAGATACTTATCAAAGACTGGGTTGTTACATGTCCTTTCAGTTTTGCGATGATATTTACACTTTTGCTGATTTTACTACTGATGTGGTCAATATGATCATGCCAAGACAAACGCAATCAATAACTAACCCTAAGTATTTAATGTTGTACGACTGCTCAAGATATTGGTCGGCAATTTTTAAAGGAGGGTGTAAGTTAGAATTGACTTTTTGTCTCGGTTGGAAGACCAGGTATTTTGTTTTACTTAAATTCAGAGTTAATATATTTGAACAAAGCCATTTATAAATTGCTGGCAATTCAGAATTTATTCGCTGTAGCAATAATTCTAAATCCTTACCAGCCAAGGTCAGCGAAGTATCATCGGCCAATAGTCTTATGGAAAAGTAGTTAGTCGCATTAACAATATCATTTATATAAACTAGGAAAAGAACCGGACCTAAGATCGACCCTTGCGGTACTCCTGAGTTTACTTTTAGAAAGTCAGATTCGACGCCATTAACAAACACTTTTTGCTTCCTTTTGTTTAGGTAAGACCTAAACCACTGATTTTCAATGTCTCGTTTACCATATACGTCAAGTTTTGATAACAGGATAGAATGGTTGACTGTGTCGAATGCTTCACTTAGGTCTAGAAATATGGAAATGGCATAATTTTCTTCGTCAAGGGCTTTCGTTATCTCATCTATAAGGTCTACCAAGCAGTCAACCGTAGTCATGGCAGATCTAAAGCCATATTGATTTGGTACCAAAATATCTTCATAGGTGAGATAAAATGATAATTGGTTAAGAATGCATCTCTCAAAAATTTTTTTTAATGCTGAAAGAACTGATATGGGGCGATAGTTATTGCATGAGGAACGAGAGCCTCGTTTAAAGATTGGTATAACTTTGGCAATTTTCAAGTTATCAGGGAATATGCCATGTTTAAGTGATAAACTTATGATATGTGTCAGCGGTCGAAATATTTCAAGTGCAGCAGAGGATAATAAAAGCGGGTGTACCTTATCATAGCCAAATGATTTCTTAGTGTCGATACTTTCTAATAGTAGATAAACCTCGATTTCCTTTACTTGAGCAAAGCGAAAGGTTGATTTTTTCCTCCTTATATAGGTTGAGAAGTGGCGATCCGCTTTAGGCAATTTTAATAGAAGCAAGTGCAGTTGGAACATTGCAGAAGTACCTGTTAATAGCATTTGATATTGAAGATGGTTGCTGGAGATTTTTATCCTTAACTTTCAGATTGTCAATATTCGAGGATGGCCGCTTTTTATTGATTATAAGGTTAACACTATCCCACATTTTTTTTGTTTTTGTGGAATCCTTAAGTACACTATCTAGTATATGGTTCGAAGGGCTTTATTAATTGAAACAATCTTGTTTCGATAAATTTTATATTGCTTATGATAATAATTATTTCGAGTTGTCAACCATTTTTTATAGAGCTCGTTACGAATTTTGATTGATTTTCTCAATCCCTTCGTCACCCAGGGCTTGTCGGACTTATCTTTTATATTTATCGATTTAAGCGGTGCATGTGAATTGCTAATGCTATTAAAGGTGTGGAAGAACCTAGTTAAGCTTTCATTCACATCATAGCCCTTGTATACTGGTGTCCAATTAGCATTCCTCGACGCTTTCTCGGAAAAGCAATGTTGTCAAACCTTTTAAAATCTCTAATTTCAATTTTATTGGGAAAGGGACTTAGCGTAGGGTCATATGAAAGAGTAAAGAGTGGAAGATGGCCAGCTATTTCTATAGCAATGCTACCACTAGTACTTGACGACACAAAGTTAGAAAGAATGTGGTCTATACAACTTGTTGTTGACTCAGTTACGCGAGTTGCTTCGAGAATCAAAGGATTAAAACCTTCTGAGTAGATCAAGTTGAGGTATTCTTTTGCTATTGTGCTCTTGACGAGTGTATTGATGTTGAAGTCAACTAAGATCAGACACTTTCTCTTAGACAAAAAGACGGAATGCAGAACGTTTTCAAATTCATCAATAAAATCGCGTTGGGACCCACTGGGAGGGTTATAAATAACGCCAATGAGCAAGTCTTGTGTGTCAACCCAAATATTTTCAACACCAGCTATCTTTAAATCATTTCTTAAATGATATTCAAAACTTGATTTTATATATAAAGCAACTCCGCCACCTGTAGAAAACGTGCGATTGTCAGTTATGATATTGTAACCTGAGATTTGCAAGCTGCTTATGTCAACTTGGGGGGTAATCTAAGTTTCAGAACAAGCAAACAAATTAGCTGGAAGGGAAATGAATTCAAAAGACGACATAGCTCGTCGAAATGCTTGCTTAGGCTTCTTATATTTAAGTGAAGCGCCGAGAGTTGAGGTTTGACAACATGCGAAAGTTGATTAAGCTCTTCTAATGTAAATATGCCTAGGTCATTAAAAGACTGAATATTTAAATCTGGGTCGTATACGTCGCTTGTCATTTACAGTCACAAAATTGACTTAAATTTTCGAAAAATTTTTAACGTAAGTACGAGATAATGATGCCTACATATTCTGACTTGACCATGAAGTTATGTTTTGCGATAAAGAGCTCCGTCTATGTAGAGTTTCCACGCGCGAATCTAGGCTTTTTACCATTTTTAAATGCCTCCTTCATTACCTCTTTTGATTTCTTCTTTGCTTCACGATCTTCCCAGATTAGGTCCTCTGTAACCCAAATACCATCCTCAAGATCACGCTTCTTCTGGATAACTTTATACCTCTGTGGACGATAAAGGAACTTGCAAATAATTACTCGCGGTTTGTCGTCATTTCGGGGACCAACACGATGCGCGTTTTCAAACTCCGACTCCATATCAAGCTGATTGGATAAAATGTCACGGACTTTTTGGACACAATCCTCGTTAGTATTCTCGAGAATACCGCTCAAGGGACAGCAGTCTTTCACGCATTCCCTCAATTTGCTTAGCGTGTTTTTGAACGGAGCTTTTCATCTCGTCGACTTTACACCTCGCGTCATGAAGCTCGCCCTTGAGTTCTTCAAAGCTGTCGTTGAGGGTCTTAAATTGGCTAGATATTTTATCTAACGCTGTTTCATTCAGCTTTACTTTAGCTTTTAAGTTTGAGATGTCCTGAATGATTTGTTTCTGGCCTTTGCTCAGTTGCCCAAGCGACTCTCTTACAAATGTTTCGAAGTCTTCTTCCTCCGAAACTTCTGCCTGTTGCTTCTGTTTTCCTCTCTTAGTTGCAGACATCGTTTACATAAAGGATTTTGACATGAAAAGTTAAAATGGAAGAAAATTTGAAAAGAAACTTTAACTTAATTTCTCTTCAACACGGAACTTTAAATTTCGCGGCCATCTCGCTCCATGACCGCTGACCGATCTATTTAGTCTAGCAGATCGTGAGTTGTATTTTTGCCGTTCTTGCAATGTTTTTAGCAAAAATTAAATAAGCTGTTCTTCGCAAAACGTGTGAAATTCTCTGCCTTTTTTTCCCACTCCACCTTGTACCCAGAGCTTCCCGGTTGGTGTCCGATAGTCTGTAGTTGATTAGTTTTTTTGCCATCGTTTTACTGGATATCACAAACGTCTCCCGAATCAGCGGTCAAGGCGTATCTGGCTGTGAAGATTTACCCGGGGAATTTGAGCCAATCAGAAACAGATATATTCTTATACCTTTGGCCGGGTTGTTCAAAGCTGGGTTAAGATAACCCAGGGTTAGTGCAAAATTTGTATTCAGATGTGAAAGCTTCAAAAGTAAATTTAGTTTAGTTCTTTTTGTCAACAAGTTGATGATCGCATGCTCTTACAAAAAACCGAGACAATTATCTAGGAAAAGGCTTTTGAACAAAAGAAAAAGAAACCCGGGTTAAACTTAACCTTGGTTTAAGCGCTAATCGGCCTTCGAACAACTGGGCCCTACGTTTTAAACATGTCGGACAAAACCTAGCCTGCGCGCAGACGAAATTAAACTCTGGTTAACTCCGTCTGCGAAACAGCGCCGAAATCCTTGTTCTGGACTTCCAGCTGTGTACCCAGATTTGAGTACGCACCACGATTGGCCAGTTAAAAAAGACCTTTGTTTTGTTTGTCGCAAGGCTGGTAATAGCCAATCAGGTTGAAGGGAAATTCGAAACGCACTTCCGGTAATTCGTTGAGTCCGTTGGGGGTCCAGAACAAGCATCTCTGCGCTGCTTCGCAGACGGTACTAATCAGAGTTTAGTTATCGTCTGCACGCAGGCTAGACAAAACCCCTTCTTCTTTAATTTAATTAGATGTTCTTTAGCCCCATATTTCCCTTCAAATAATCAATATGGTTTGATTTGGGAGCTGTCTGTGTAATATATTCCCAACTAAAAAAGAGCGAAATCCGAGCTCAATGTGCAAAAAAGGAATTCTTGGTTTGCAACCGCGCGACAAAAAGGCGGCCATCTTGGGGTCAATACAATAGAGTTTTCTCGAAGAATTTACTTAAAAATAGAGTTTTCATGGTTCTAGAGTTCTTGACCACCAAAGTAGCTGCCGTGACGCACGTGCAAACCAGCAATGAAAAGGAAATCTGGTGAAGAGGTTAGAATAACGCCGCTTGAGGCGTTTTTTTGAGAACTCGAACATTCGATCCTCATCGTCTTCGTCGATTCTTTTGTGTCCCTCGCCTCTGATCTGGGCTTTTATATCTCGACTTGTGAATAATTCTAAGAACAGACCATCAAATTTCGAAGGCTGAATACTTTCATTTCCAACATGTGGTAAAGCTAGGATCTGAGATGAGTGAGCGGATAAAACAATTTTTTCATTTTCCTTTCTGGTGGATTTAAAAGAGGTCTAATTAATTTCTCAGCGGTACACTTATAATAATAATAATAATAATAATAATAATAATAATCGTCTATTCAACCTTTTTGCAACATAAACTGAATTACACATGATTACTTGGCGGGTTATTAATTACATACAATAAATAGAGAATACTTCATGGAAAGTGCTGGCGTACGGTATTTACGCACGAGTTGTTGACGTATCAGAAACCGAACGAGTGAGGGCAGCGAACGAGTAAGTTTTCTGATACAAAAACAACGAGAGCGTAAATACCGTACAAAGCACTTTCCACGTGGTATTGTGTTTATTATATACATACTGAGACATTCATCATTTTGGCGGCCTTTTTATTTTAAATCTCTCAAGAATGCTAAAATTTGCCGCTACACAGTACACTTACCGCAAAATGATAACGAAAACGAAGTATCAGCTTTTAATTTAGTAACAACGTTTGTTAAAAACATAAATGACGGTAAGGAAATGAGGTAATCCAAGAACTATAAGTAATCTTAACTGTTTGTTCTCAATGCACAATTGAAAATGAGTGAATTTAAGTAAAATGGCCGGTTTCAATATAAACTTAAGCTTAAATGAAAGGCAAAGTAGCTCCGACAAAAAGCACAACAAAAGCTTACGTCTCGTTCTGTTTTTCCCTTTCCGATGTTGTTTCGCCGGCTCACTACTGTTTTCTTTATCGACAGTGAAGCAAACGAAACTATTCCACTCCATTTCCGAAATATTTTTACCTTTTTCAGGGGCAGCCAACGAGAATATAGTTCAAAACCACTTAAACATAGCATTGTTAAACGTATTTTAGTATTTAAACGGTAGATAAAGGAATATTTTTATCCCCTAAAAATTTTTAATTTGTTCGGATTTCCTAGCTGAAAGTCTAGTGATCCGAAAATTATAGGGATCAAAACTCGCCTTTTCGAAAATTTCAGCCAGAAAAAAGGCTCCCGAAAATTCTAGGTGACCTTTTTAAGGTAAAGATCCGTTAAAAATAGGCAATTATACCATTTCAGTATATATGTTCGAAAATCCTAGGTGAGGCAGGCAAGCAAGAAATTTTACAACAAATGTTCCGAAAATTCTAGATCTCAAATCGTCTTTCGAACAGATATTTTTCCGAAACTTGTCGTTGGGTGCCCCTGCTTTTTTAGCGAGAAAAACTCTTTGAGTAAAACTTTTCTCGTTGAATGTGTGCGAAGCGGCGCTGCAAGCTGCAATAAAAGGCGGGAATTTTGGCGCGAAACTCACACACCTCTGAGGCTTCTGATTGGACGTATCATTTTTTTCACGTGTGAAAACCATCGTTCGCTCCTCTGATTGGCTAGAACTAATTTGCGTACGAAAATTTACGACATAGCTTTTTGGTGAGTATTTCTCAGTATGTATATAATAATACTTCGGAAT